TGGTGTAAGAAAATGGATAGCTTCAGTGAAGAATCCTTACCTGTCCCTAGCCCCCGCCACGAGAACGACTCGGGCCCAGACTCGGACTCAGACTCGACATATATATATACTAAAAAATGAAGGAGACGTATCTGCCTCTATGAAGCAGAAAGAATATGCGAAGGAAGTTGCGATACCTGTAAATAAGTATTGAGTTATAATTATTATTGAGTTATTATTATAAAATATATAATAACCTGTTAATAGCAACGTTATATTCAATCAACCACCTCTATTATCCCACAAGAAATAAAGGATCGAATGATTCATGGCGTCGATCAGTCAAATCGTAACGAGAATTTATGACTCCCGTTGACGCTTTTCTTCGAGATTGCGTCTCCCCGCGAACGTCCGAAAATACACCATGATTGGGAAGTTTAAACATATTCCCGAGACATGGTTTAATTGTGGAGAAGGATTATTAAAAATGGGTTTGAAGGAAAAAATGGGGCATATTATGCAGAAAGCATTGCAATCTTTGCCAGCATCTGAACGTATGTACACAACAGAAATAAAATGTCATTAAGAATAAAATACTAATATAATATAAATTTTATAGATGTAAATCTAATGGCAAGGTTTGCGATTATGGAGAAAAATTTGGGGGTAAAGAGAAAGCACAAACTCTGTGCAAATTCTTAGTTCTTATCCGAAACGGATGAATGTATGGTCTTGTTATATTGATTCCCTGGTTAAACCTAATGATATTTATATAGCAAGGTAAAAATAATTTTTCAGTTATATTTTGTTTTTTTAATTTCATGGAGAATTTACCTTATAATTATTTATATGTCGGGTTTACATTAGAATCAGGGTTAGGGGCGTGAAACGAATCTTCGTTTGGATTACACGTGTCGCTATGCAATAGAGAAGACTTCGACTAATGCAAATACGATTATTATAGAACTGGACAAGTAACCGTGGTAATTAGATACTCGAGAAACTAATGGCAATGATCTTAGGTTCAATAACGAATCCGCGGTCGACGGGATGATAGATGAACGTGCTCACAAAATCTAAGTCGGACGCGTAATATTCACGAGTCGTAAGGGGTTACCCTTTTCGTCGATGAGATCGCGAGAGAGAATGAATTTCCCGTCCCGATGATGCCACAGACGAAAACTATATGGGGTGTGTCTGAGGACATCGGATTCGTCGAAGATAGCTTTCGTTCAGAAGGTGAGGGAATTTGGCGTTGCTGCTAATTGGTCAATCTCCATATCGGCGGTTAGAAAAAGATGCTAGCCGCCCTCGAGGGAAAGTTGCTAGTGGGCGACGCCGCCC